GCCTTCCCCTGCAGACTGGACTGTAGACTCTATGGACTTTCATGAACTGTAGGATCTCATAAAGATGGACATATGTTACTATGCCCAAATTTTAGGCCACGCCCCCTGTGATTTCGCGTCGCCGCACAACCGATCACGAGACGCCCTAAGAAGTGGTTCCGAAGTGAGCGTTATGAAACATGGACATTAACATATTTCCACACGGAACAAATCAACTCATTGTTTCCACTCCAATGGCGCAATATGAATTAGTTCCAAAGCAATTTCACGGTTTCTCGGTTTATAAAGAGCGAATTTATGCACCATTTGAAATGAATGTTGACGGCAGGGGGCGGTGAGTGACCGCCCTCCCGGGCCACCAAGCCTCAGCGGGAAGTTACGCTAGTTATTATTATTATTTCTGCAGCTTATTTATACAAAAAATGTTACAATGTAAGCAGTGAAATGCCCGGTCAGAGTTGTAAGACCCCAACTTAAAGACCATAAAAGTAAAGGGTAAAGCTTAAAGGCAGAGGAAGTGATAATGTGCTGCCTGGTCAGAGCTATCGCACACCTCAAGGGGCGGTGTTAAATGAGTATGGAGCTATGATAGAACGAAGACTGAAGCGGAAAAACCGAAAAAAAAAAAACGGAAAAATGCCTGGTCCTGTGCCACTTTGTCCACACTGAAGTTCACATGGGCTTGAACCCGGAGGTTTTGGTGAGAAACCAGCTTCTAAAAATTTCACTTCCACCCATTCTTAACACCAGCACACACGTGTCATTCGTCTGTATAATATCGTGGCATGTCTACCCGTTGATAGGTAACGGCTGCGTCAACAGACATGAACGCAACAATTCCACGGCAACAACTGCATTGCATCAGAAGAGCGGTGTTTTCTAGGCTGTCCATGCCAAGATGTTATAAGCAGGGCAAATGAGGAGTCAGTTACTGAGGAGTTGGTGAGTTGAACTGCAGTTCAGTCATTGTGAGCTATGAGAAAGTGGTAGCTGAGGCCAGGGATAGTTTGGGAAACCAGAGGAAGGGGAATGTCTGCCGTTAGAAGTCACTACCAAGCAACGGAAGTGAAGGCGTGACTGTGGACACTAGAATGTGTGTGTAATAGTGACCTGTAAGATATAATCATGCACTGTATCAAAAAGAGTCCAATAAATTCGATTATCAATCCAAACCTGGCCTATGGTCACAATCCATCACTTGACAATATACATAAGTTCAGTTGGTACCTCAAAGAAAACACAGCATTTCCATTACAAAGACCACCTGATTAATGTCGTAACAATGAAGTTACAAAAAAGTAACAGTTACAGCAGATGCTGCAGGCGCGTGGCGGTAACGTAGCGTTCCCTCCCGCCCCTCCGCGGTGACGTAACGCGCAATGCTACGTACTCGTAATCAACTTCCTACTG